ACATAATCTCGTCGGCTATTAACAATGGATTGAGGGTGATCATTTCTTCAATTTGTCAATTAGTATTCAACAACCATAAGGGAGTATAAATCGTCGTACCAAACTATAATAGCGTTTCCTTAAAACTCGTATTCAAGTTTTCTAAAACACAACATGTCTAATCCTCATTCACCCACCATCCCACGATGATCAATCATTTTCTAACTCGAGATCTCTTGGCATATCAATACATTACAAATCCTTCCACTCTAGTCTGAGTCTTTATCTACATAAAGAATTCTAACAACATTCTTAAATTCTTAATCCTCTTCCGAATTTCACAACATCAAAAATACATGTATCTCCACCTCTCAAACTCATTCCAATCAAACTCTCAACATTATCATCTTATCTAACAACATTTCATATATATCTACACCTCAAACAACTACGATAGTAATCATCTAAGCTCAACAAGCTACTAACCTCTATAATAGACTTCATCGTTCTCCAACTTATAACTGCATCCACCTTGAATGGATCTACATACACTTTCACTTGGAAATAAAGTTACTCAAGAGAACTCTTATCCCAAAACTATAACATACATCCTGACAACTTAGCATAAATCTTCCTCCTTTTCGACACCATAAATTCCACACAACTTCGCACTATCGTCTTTCGTTCTAATTAATAACACCAAAGCTTTCCAAATTATACATTTGATTTCACAAATTACTTTAAGTAAATCTTCCAGTTGCTCCTTTAATTCACCCAACTCGGACGCGTCCCGTACAACACTGAAGAACAAGTCTAGTCCCAAAGGCAAGCTTAACAATAAACTGCACTTAATTCCAATATCATTACGTGATAAATGAATCTATTACAGCTACTGGAACCATTTTTAAAATGAAGCTTATTTCGTTAGCTTCCTAACGCTTCAAATGAAACTCAAATCGGATGCCCGAAACTCTAGTTATGAATTTTCGAAGTCCCACAATAATTATGCAGTTTCCTGCGATTTGCTTACGGAAATTCCACTCTGAAACTCATTTATCTTCAACTTAGACATATTCCAAACAACTCTTAACATATATCGTGCTCCCAAACTTCTTATAACTCGAGAGATGCATTCCTTCGCCAAAGTTCAGGTTCCAAAATACCAGGGAAACAATTATTTTCGCAACGCTACTCACTTCTTTACGTTTTGACTCAGACTCGCGATTCACAACTACTTATCAACGTCAACTACTCCCGACAATCACTTATGTGACCCCTACACAAAAGTTACAACAACTTTATTACTCCATCATTGTTCAAACATTCACATCTTACACTTGATTCATAAATCAACCAATATTACATCGCTCTTCATTCTTTGAGAAGTAAGCACCAATAATATCTGATCAATTTCTCTCAAGGAGCTCTAACTCGACTAACAACAAGACTTTGAATCCAAGACACCTTCAAATTTGAGAACAACAAGACTCTAACAATTCTTGCATTATCGTCGTCGGCAGCACACCAAATCAACACCTTTCAATTGAACATATCCGAGAAGCAAAGCTTCTCCCCCACTTATCTTCAACCAACTTCCTGCAATTAAGGCAAACCAATATCGACAGTGTTTCACACACTTGTCGCACACTAATGAACAAAAAACATTATACAACTTGGTCGGGCGAACCGACCTGCTCTGATACCGCTAATGTAACACTCCATTTCTACCCGGCGGATAATAAGAAAATCAGAGTTCAACATAAATAGGATGCTACATTTTCAACTAAAAATCAATCTTCATTTAATCGCATACAAACAGATACGTAACACTTAACTCAGATGAACCGATAACAATCTGATTTATTCTTCAAAATCAAACAACTTTTTATTGATAAGCAACAAAATATACATAATCAACTTCAATTCACTTAACATCTTTTATTCAACTAAAACAACCTCAAGACAACAATTATTTCATGTAATCAACTTAAAAATTCAGCAACTGAAATAATAACCAACAACTAAACATCAAGCGTTCATCCCCCCGAGTGCTACGTATTAGAGCGACAACACCGACTCGAACTAACGAGGTAATAACTATCCTTCTTGATTACCTGCACGTTACTAATAGAGGTCAACATTCAAAAAGAAGGGGTGAGATATCAAACTATATAATTAGTCATATGATAAATAATATATTAAATCAGATCATATAAAGTCACCACTTCACAACTTACAAACAACTTTAATCATAATAAAACATCAACACGACATAACTACTAAATTCACAGCTTTTAGATAATACTTGTCACAACAAGTCAACAACATAAAGCAACAACGAATCTATCTTCACCACAATTCAAGATGCAACATCAAATGCGAATCAATCACAATGCACATGCATGTGGTACCATTGGAGCAAAACTCCCAACTTAACAATTGCCAATTAATAGAGGCATCAACAAGGCATAAACCTTCTTCGAAGTTTGCCAATACAGGCCTTCACAAAATCTTCCAATACAGGCCATCACAGAGTATGCAAATGTATGTGACTCAATGAATACACCACCACATACTAACAACAATCATCATTCATCGCAAGGCATAAGCCCACATCACCATTATTATCAGTAAATAGAGGTAATTCATCATCATCTAAAATCTCTGCAACTTCACATTATCAACAAAAATTCACAGAGACAATCACAATAACACAACATCTCAACATTGGCCATAGGCCTACAACATAATATTACCCATAAATAGAGGCAATTCAACCAAATTCATCATCACCTGCAATTTCATATTTTTTAGCTAGGTATACAACACAATTCCATAAACCAGAACCATTCAACTTAATTCGACTTCAGCTGCAAATCAATTTTATTCTACATAATTATAACAAAACAAACTAACTAAAAATACCCATATGTATATACGACTCACTCCAACAATTTCAACTAATTCCGGTTAACTACTTTTACCACTTAAATCTACAAATTCGGCTAATCGATACTGTTTTATATACTGTTATTACTGCTATTTATTTATACTACTACTAATCAATTTATTCTACTAAATTACGCTACCTCTGTTATTTAGCTTACTTCTATTATTGGTCTCCGCCAAAACTACTTGTTTGCTATCTACAACTTCTATTACTACAACTTCCTGTCAATGACAAATATTAGTTATAAACCAAAACCAATTTCAACTTATTACTCCTATTACTGAAATTCTCAGTTATACTTTCTGTATGATAATTTGAAATTTCTACATCTACTGATACTTCCTAACAATGCTCAGCTAAATTAGTCCATACACTATTATTTTTGTTACTCTTACATATACATCCTGCTATTCATTTGACTAAAGCATTACAATTTATTCCTGCAACTTCTTTAATCCAATCTGATACTAAATTATTTTACTAATTATATTAACTTATTAATAATATAAGATATGACATAGTCTTTCCACCACGCCTATAAGTTCTTTCGAGTCTCATCTCAAGACAACAACTCAATAATAGCCATAACAACATCATAACTGAAATTCAATTTAAATAAATTGCAGAACAACTTCATCAACACATTATGAACATTCATTGACAACTAAAATTGCAGGACTGATAATCTTCACAGAATCACAATATAACCGAATCGACAACAATTCATGGCACAAATTTATACAACCCAACCCCATATACGGTTTATCATATACCTGGTTATAGAGATTGAACACACCCTTACCTGGTTTGGATTGAAGGTAACTCTAAGGGTCTCTGATTGAATCTCCTCTTGACTGTTTGGTGTAACTTCCACGTATCCCTCTTCTTCTCCTCAAAATCCTTATTTTTCTCTTCTCTACAACTTCTCTTGTACTAAAACCTTCCAAGATTTTTTTCTCTCTAAATCAGAATCAAAGCTGAAAATTTTCCCAAATATGCAGCTACAGTGCGATGATAATATCTCCTAACTCAGACCTTATTTTGAAGATCCCAATGGTCAAAAGTTAGATGTATGTGTTGCGAACCTCCCTCAAAATTTGAGCATGATCTAACGGTTAACGAACTGGGGATTGTCGATTTAGTGAGACTGCTGCTATAAAAACGGGAATGAGTTTCTCCCATCTATTCTCTCACTTTTTCTCAATTAACCTTGTAATTCTAGTAATTCTTATTGGGCCAATATCCACACTCTCATATTTACTACATGACATCACTTAAATAAGCCCAACAATTAATCTTATAATGCTCCAATATATTTAATATTATTAAACCACCATTTAATCAAATAATGTCACATAGCAACTTAACAATAATTCACAATATTGCTCAACTCCAACTAATAATTTAAATTAAATAATTAATTAAATTATCGGGGCGTTACATTTGATGCCGGGAGAGCCTTCCAATAGTCGCAGTCAGGCTTTGAGGATGTTTGTCGAGACTTCATGTGACATGCGTTGCATTGGTTTTTACAAAGTGTGATGAAGATGTGAGCATTAAGTGCAATCTTATTATTGAAACATTTCACTGTTTCTCTTTGACGTGTGACCTAAAAAGGCATGGGATGACGTGACACAGCTTCTTGTGTACTCGAGTACACTTGGGTACATTTGTCTTTCCCATATGAAATATGATTGTTGATTTACCCTTATTTATTTCTTTCGTTCTGATCTGTTCGATTTCCTTTGTCTATATAAACATGGAAAGAGATTGTGGATAAACTTTTTAGCTATCTTGTAGATTGAGTTTCCCTTGTCTCTTTGAATCCTTCCCTTTTTTTCTGAGAGCACTTTCCTTCCAGAGTAACTGTCGTTGCACATTCATAATTTCAAAGCATTAAAGCTTCGATTTTCGATCCTCTTCTTCACTTCAGCGCTTTCACCTTCATATTTCAAGGTACCTTCTCTTCACCTCAGATTTTTACTCAAATATTTACCACTTTTTTTACGATGAGTGGAAACCTTATTATCATTGAGAGCGACTCGAAGACTAGTGTTCTTCATCTTCGAAAATGGGCATGAAGTCTGAATCGCATTCCTTCCCTTCTGTTAGTGGGGATTTTAAACCAAAAGTCATCTTTTTGAATGATGATTCAAAAACGGAAGGTTCTTCTGGAGAATATCTTTCAAACGGAGTTCTTTCTAGGGATTCCTTGGAGACTCTGTTTCCAGCTAAGCCCGATGGGGGTGAAAACCTTATCAAGAGACCTATGCCTCCTCCTGTCTTGACCGAATCAGAAAGAAAGGTTTCCCATCAAAGGAGGGAACATGTTGGTAATTTCATCATAACATACAGGTAAGTAACTGGTCATGACCCTAATGATGTTGAAATTGCTTGTCATCTAAAGTAGCAGGGACGACCTGATGTTGTATCCTAGGTCAACCTCGGTGATCATCACAGAGCTAACGTACTAGCTTGTAATGACATTCAATTAATTGAGCCAAATAATGTTTTTGTACCCCAAAAATTTCCCTCTATTTTTTCAAGACTTTCTCACCAAATATCTTAAATGCTCAAGGGTTCTCAAGGGTTTGATCAGACAAGCCCACCTCCTAAGTGCTAAGACCATAAATTAGGGTTTTGACTGAAGTTGACTGATCATGAAATTTTGACCTAATACATAATCTAATGGTTTGAAACATAATCTCAAAGACTCAAACATAATATGTTGACTTAATTTCATGGCTTAAATCATTTCTCAAGATCAACGGATTGATAGTCGGATTTTGGATCAGCTGATGAAAAGTTAACTAATACACAAAAAGTCAAACTTTGATTTTTTTAGTCAACATTAAATTTCAAAGATCAAAATTCACCAAGACATCCAAAAATATCAAACTTGATCATCAAGAATCAAGAAATTCAAAAAAGTCCACAAAAAGTCAAAGTTTTCAATACTTAGAAATTTTCTAAGTGTTTTTACACTTGATAATTTCACTACTTCATGACATTTTTTCACCAAGATGCATGATGATTTAAGACAAACTTTCAACATGAAGGTTGTAGATATTGGTGAATTCTAAAAATTTGTATTAGAGGGTTGATGTCCAAAAAAATGCTTAGATTTGAAGATATAAGCCCATGAAGTCAGGATATTTTTATCTAACACTTAGAGAAATTTTCAACAGGTTTCGGTCAGTTTTTATCTCAACTTCTTGGCCAATTTTCATCACGTTCCAATTTGATTTAGCCAAAGTGGTCAACATGGAAGTTGTAGAAAATGTTTCAAGCTTTACAAAAAATCCAAGAGCATGAATTTATCATACTTGAGCTAGGAGATTCAAAGGCATGAAGTTAGGCATCCATTCTTGAATTACAAGTCATTTTGGTGAAGAACACATAAGCCAATCTACATTGTATGTTGCATAATCTTATTTTACATGCCTTCTAACTTGAAAATCTCACTATAATTTAATGTTTACACAAACGTTTGAGCTATGGTCCATTTGATTTAAGCATTGTCCAAATGATTTTTCCATTTTTGACATAAAGTTAATATTTCCATTCTTGCAAAGTAGCTTTAATCACAAAGTCAGCTCTTGTTGAGCCTCTAACTTATTCCTTCTACACACACTCAACATACAAAATTATGTGAGCATGCTTAAAGTATCCAATAACTCTATGAAGCAAAGTATAAAGCATTGGAACTATGATCTTCAAGCTTGCTTCATTTACAATCCAACCTAGCCATAACATGTGATCTTGCAAATCTGATCAACCCTTGTCTTAAAACCTCTTGCCCATAAATAGAGAGATCATTTGCAAGATAGATAGATATGAACAAGCCCTCAAAACCCCTTTACTCTCAAAAAACAAGAGTTGTCCACAAAACCTCCATCTTTGATCTTTGAAGTCCAAATCTTTGAACCTCTCAAACCTTGCAAGTTTTGTCAAAACAAATCATCCAAATACTTCACATACATCATATAGAATTTGTTCAAACACAAGAAGAGCTTCTGTAATATCATTATCACCATGTTCCAAACTCAAAAATAGTACCTTGCAACTTGACTTGGTTGGAGTGATTCAGCAATTTTCAGCACAAAGGGAGGATTGGCATAACTTCAAGAAGGTCCAAGAGAGCTCAAATAAATCACCATTTTCTACCCAGAAACATTCATACGTTGTTGTACCCCAAAATTTGCCCTCCCATATTCTCCAAGAAATTGCCAAGCCAAGCTGCAAAATTCCCCAAGGGTGGCACAGTCCAACTATCTCCTATACAGTCAAAGCTAGGGTTTGTGTTCTGATCAAAGAAAGGAAGTTTTCAAGGACCCAATCAAGTCTCATATGCTTACAAAGATGGTCAAGTATTCTCATATCAAGTTTCAAGGCATTCAGCTCAAAGTTGCACAGTCAAAACCCTAAATTGCACTACAGTCAACTGTAGGGGCAAAATGGTCATTTGACAGTCAAAAGTTCAAATATTTGGTCAACATATCATTTTGAAGCCACAAACATCATTTGATCAATGCTTGATCATGATTCTCAAAATTTGGCTCAGAAAATCATCAAGATGCAAAAGTTACTATATTTGGACAGCTGAAAAAGTCAACTGAAATTGACCAGGGCATAACTTTCACATGGATTATCAGAAATATTCCATCCAAAGCTAATTTTGAAGAGAAAGACATTTCCTACAACTCATCTTCATACTTCAAGTCCAAGAAATGCTCTCACAAAAAGTTATCAATTTCAACATTATAGGTCATTTTCAAAAGTCAACAAAAAGGGACTTTAAGTCAAAGGCCATAACTTGAGATTGGTAAATCAAAATGACATGGGACCAAAGGCATTGGTTAGAGGACTCAAAGAACTTTCCAAAATGTCCAAGAACATGTGAAAAGCTTAAAAATTGAGCAAGTTATGCCTTGTGGAAGTTGGGAAATTTTTGGATATTTTGAAAAGTCAACAATGGTTCAAATGACCTAAATTTGCTAATGGGCCCATTTTTCTTCCATGATTCATCATTCCAAGCATATGCACGACCACTTGGCCCAAAGGGAAGCATTTTCTCATTTTTTATTTATTTATTCTAATTTTTATTTATATTAATTCAATTAAATCAATTAAATATGTGAAAAATATCTAAATGAACCAAACAAATCTTTTTGTACACATTTCAAGGTCAATATTTCGTGCACATGCTGATTAAGAAGAATTGGATTGATTTGAGCATAATTGATACAAATACACATGAAAAAAAGATTCAAAAAGATCTTATAAAATCAAATATTGAAACCATTGAATTCAAAAGATTTTGTGCAATATTCTTAACCTAATTGACTCCATACAAATACAGGAACACAAACCTAATGCTAGAGGACTGAAAACTGCGCAGCAATTCCCCTACAAAACTTGGAAATTTCTCCAAAAAAGTCAATACTGAAAACTGACTTACAAAGCGATTCAAGGCCTAACACCCATCCCACTAGCTTCCTTGAGCAATATAGAACATATTTCCATCAAGAACATCAATCCTAGCGTGTTGAATTGGTATACAGAAGTCCACCTTTCTCTCATATTTTTCAAATTCGTGTTTCCAGATTTAAGCATTTTTAGGGCATTTCATTTATCAATTCTTATTCCTTGAATGATTGTGAAGCTAACCAAACTATTTGATTGTATTTTTATGCGCCCTATGTGAATTCACCATTAACGTTTTTTAGGGTTCAAGAAGCTTGAAATTAGGGCTTCTGAAACTAAGCAAAATTAGTTCACGAAATCATGACCGTTCAAACCAGCACGCTTCAACGAACAAGAATCAGTCATCGCGATCGATTTATGTGGCCTCATGGCCTAGTCGTTATTTTCTCATATGCTACTTTCTGCAACGGTGTAAAAACCGTTGCCTAATACTTTTGTTTTTTCAGGCAAAACGAAGCCATGGGGAAGATGATGAAGTGGCGTGTATTGGTTGGACAATTTGAATTTTTCGCGCTTTAAACCACTGATGCATTATTTCATATTATATTATTCATTGTATATTTACTTAACAAACGCGCAGTGATGGCTTAGTGGCACAGGTGTCGCCTTGCAATGTCCAAGACCTGGGTTCGAGTCCCAGGTCTGTGTAATTTCCAATGTTATTTTTCAATATAAATTCCTGTGCAGCGCTTATGTGAATAACCACCATAATCCCTCACCATCAAGCGTGACACGCATCCAAGAGCATCTAAATCAAAGGCCAGGATTGGAGAACACCATGAACGTGAGTCCACATTGCCACACGCTACTCACAAAAGTCAAATGGACTCAGGGTTTTGGGCCAGCATTCTAAGGCCTACACCTCCTTCTGGGGCTTGAACCCCCCCTGGTTTGCTTCTCTATATTTTTTTTATTTTTATTTTTCAATTATGATTTTATTTTTGCTTTATTGTTTTAATCAAATTAATTAATTCTTTTTTTTTTACAAAATACAAAAACATCATGAAAATCAGAAAAGGCAAAAAAAAATATAATATTTATTTATTTTAATTATTTTTATAAATAAATGCATGTAAATAAACTTAGTTTTAATTAGGTTGTAATTTTAATCCTTTTAATAACTAAAATTCAAAAATATGTAGAAATAGGTGTAATTAATTTTGATTTCTTTTAATTTCCTTTTTTTTACAATAATAATATTTATTTATTTATTTTCATAATTAAAAAATGCATGTAAAATAACTTAGGTTTAAATTAGTTAAAAATTCAATATTTTTCATAATAACTAAAAAAATAATTAGAATTAGGGTTTGACATCCAATTTTTAGTTTTAATTAATTCTTTTTTCTCTTAAATCATAAAAAACATAAAATACCAAAAACATTTAATTTTAATTTTTAATGCCTTATTAATTTTAATTTTTGCAAAAGGGTCCAATGCCCATATTTTTAATTCCTTTATTTTGCATATTTATTTTAATTATGTATCTCTTCCAAAGCGTTGTAATATTTTATACTTTTCGCACTTTTACTTTGCTTTATTTTCCGTCAAATCGGGTCCGGTTTAATTTTGGCGATGTGGACCCGCGCCATTTGTAATAGCCTTAGATTTACTTTCCCGCAAATATCTTAACTGTTAACAAAAGCATGAAAGAATGTATGGACTTAAAATAAAATCAAGCGTAGATCACAACAAACATGACAAGACAAATATCAATGAAAATAACACACAATTCGCACACACCACCCCTAGGGTACGCCTCCCTGTTGCCTTTCGAAAGGTGATCGTCGAGTAGAGGACGTCTTAGTAAGTCCTCATGATCCGGGAACCTGGCATGAGGGTAGCTTCTAAGGTGTCTTCCCGTTGCTCTGG